GGGGCCTGAATTCTGGGTCTGGGCGCTGTCCCTCAGCTCTTCAGCTCAAGGCTAGCGCTCTACCACTTGAGCCATAGCTCTACTTCTGGCTTTTTCTGCTTATGAAGTACTGAGGAATTGAACCCAGGGCCTCATACATGCAAGGCAAGCTGTTTGGTCTTTTTAAATTATTTATTTTTTTGCCAGTCCTGGGGCTTGAACTCAGGGCCAGGGCACGGTCCCTGAGCTTCTTTTGCTCAAGGCTAGCTAGCACTCTACTACATGAGCCACTTTCATGATTATTTTTAAAACTAGCCTCCCTTTAAATGTTGCCCAAGTTTCTAGCATTCAACATCTACTCTCCTGTTCCTCACTGTAGTTTAAAAAAGGTGTGTGTGTGGGGGGGGGGCTGTATGTCTTCACTAGAAATCATTGATCTGATCTCTCACCAGTAATGGGCCCTTTGAGCAGCCTTAAATTCTCTTGGGAAAAGTAGCATGATGCCATTTCTGTCTAACAGCATGGCTTTCTCACTACCATCTACAGACCAACACACATTCTCAGTTCAACAGCATGAGAACAAAGTTGAATGGTGCTAAAGTTAGGCCTAAAAAAAAGGTACACAGCACACAAATTATTGTGGAAATTTACATGTAGATCAAAGCTAATCAAGTGCGCTTATTTAAATGGCTGGCAACCAAACCTCTTTAGGATCACATCAGGACTCAAGTTCCCATGGGGAAGGACAAGGTGGGGCTCAGTGAGGTCCGGCTGCAGCCACAGCCCGGAATGCACAGCCCGCCTGGGAGCTGAGGGAACCAAGGCGGTGGTGCTCACCCTCCACTCAGTACTGACCATCTGGGGTCCACGTCAGGTCCACCAGGAATCAAGTGTCACCTCAGGATGGGGCCGGGGAACTCAGGCGCCAGTTCCCAGACCAACGGAAGCCTTACATTCGGGCAGCAAAGGCATACACACGGTCACTGCGAAACGCTGGGACAGCTCTCAGACAGATGCAGGGGAGAGGGAGTGACAACACCAGCCGTTCCAGCCTCCAAAGTCAAGAACATTCCAGCACTTGAAAAAGAGGAAGACACGGAGACTCCCCCCACCCCCCACAGGAGGGAGTTTCTAACAATCAAGATCTCCCTCTCGCTGGCAAAGTATCTCACCTAGTCCTGGAACTACAGGAAAGGAAGCTTCTGGCAGCTCTTGGGTCACCTTGTGGCCCTGTGATTCGAGCCTGACCACTGGTCAGGACCTCTTTCCTGGAGCATCTGCCACCTGCCAGGTCTCCATTTTACTTCACGGCCACCGGAAATGGATGTGTGAGGTGCTGTTAAATCCAGATTTACAAACCGGAAACTCAGATCAGCAAGGCCTTGGGAGCTGCAAGGCTATGGGAGCAGAGCAGAAACTCACAGCTTTATCCTGAGCTTCCAGATGCCGTCCCTGGGAAGGGAGGGGGGTCTGGGGGGCATCAGCCTGGCCTTCATTTGACCCAGTGAAAGAGGGGATGAGCAAAGGAGAGGGAAGAGAATATATGCCCTTTTATAATGCACAACTAAATACTGATCTGTGCATGAATGGCTGGCAAACACTTCTCAGCTGTGAGACGCACTTCTTCAGACCTTTCTTGTTTCTCGCCCTCCAGGGATGGCAAGGGATGCACTGTTTTTCTTTATAGAGGGGAGAGGTCCTGTCACCTCAGTGTAGGCAATTTCCTCTCAGTCAGCCTGGCTGTCCCACAATCCTTTTCAACATGGTGTCCAGGCAGACTCTACTAAGCAGCCCCATGCTGGCTTGGGAGAGGTGGAACCTAGCTGCCATCTGCGAAGCGGCTGTCTGCAGGAAGCTCTTCTGAGCTGCACGAAGTTCCCCCTGAGGGACCACAAGGCCTTGCCACTTGGTCCTGCCCGGTGGCCTTTTGGCAACTTTCACTTTCCAGTCCTTTTGGAAGCTTTAGGATCTGAATCTGTGGACTAAAGAGGATGTGTGACAGCACTAAACACCCTCCGCCTTCCGCCATCAGCTACCTGGGGCTTTCCTGGAAATGGCCTGTCTTTAAGACAGCTCTGGGGACACAGAGGTGTGGTGAGCCCTGCTTCCCTCCCTCCTGCCACTCACTGGCTGTGTCTTCTGTCCTCTCAGGATTGGCTTGTCACCCAGACTGCCTGATTTCCCCTTCCAGAAGCAGTGAGTTTTGAGGCCCATGAAGCAGTTCCCGCTTGGTCAAATGAAGGCCAGGCTGATGCCCCCCAGGCTCCCCTCCCTTCCCAGGGACGGCATCTGGAAGCCCACGACAAAGCTGTGAGTTTCTGCTCTGCTCCTCCACAGCTTTGCAGCTCCCGAGGCCTTCCTGACCCGAGTTTCTGGTTTGCAAATCTGGATTTAACAGCACCTCACACATCCATGTTGGGTGGCTGACACGGAGTGACTAACACAGCACACAGTGTTGATATGGGGTCTGTTCTGTCATTGTTCTGAGGTTCCAAGGGGCTTGAGTCTCCCTGGGAAATGCAGCTCAACACCCCCATTCCTGGGCCGCTATGGCTTATTCTCCTGGTGGAGCCTCCACCACCAGTGCTGAGAGGATGGCTCCGCTTGGGGGGGTGGGGTGGGGGGGGTGGGCAGGGAGGGCTCTAACGTTCTTCTGCATCCCGGAGGCCTGCACAAAACATCTGGCCCACCAGCGACTCTGATCTACTTCAGACTTAAAAAACTCTCTGGTGTCGGGTGTTTTTTTTGTTTTGTTTTGTTTTTGTCAGTTGTGGAGCTTGAACTCAGGGCCTGGGTGCTGTCCCTGAGCTCTTTTGATCAAGGCGAGGGATCTACCACTTTGAGCCACAGTGCCACTTCTGCTAGTTAATTGGAAATAAGAATCTCATGGACTTTCCTGCCTGGGCTGGCTTCGAACCATGATCCTTAGATCTCAGCTTCCTGAGTAGCTAGGATTACAGGTGTGAGGCACCGGCGGCCAGCTCATGTCAGGCGTTTTGACAAGACATCTCATGCAGTCAAAGCCAAGTGTGCACAGGAAAACTTGCTGGAATGGCATGCGGAGGTTCTCTGGCCAGGCTGGGTGGCAGGCAAGGGGTCACTCTGTCTTAATCCCTGTCAAGTGACTGCTCACAAGACTCCTGTAAGTCTCTGTGATTGAGACAGAGGCCCCAGAGTGACTGCAGTGTTAGGTGATTATCTGAAAATTTCAGAACTGGCCCCAGAAAGATCTGAAGACTGGGAACCGACAGACACTTCAGAGGAAAGTGTGGGTTGTTGCCCGGGACGTGGCAGGTTTGTGTCATCCGCACGGTCAAAATGGGTTTCTTTGTCAGTGCCAAACACTCGAGGGAAGGCAGTGTGCCTTGCCGGTGGAAGCTAGTCCTGATCTCGCCCTGTTGTGTCTCCTTACCCACAGGAGTCTGCACCCACCAGAGCCTTCCCCGTCCCTCTGAACAACGTGACTGTGGATGCGATTTCCACACATCTGCTCAGCCCCTTCTGGGCCATTCATGGGCAACACGCTTCCCTTCAGCTTGGCTTTTGTCGGCCAAAGGGGACAGACAAACCCTCATCTTCATTTTGGAATGTGTGTTTCCCTCCTCCTTCTGCGATCATTTTTCCTCCTTCCCTTCGGCTTGTCTCTGGCCCCTGTGTTACCTTCTCACTTTCCACATGCTTTGGGGAAGTCATCTCTGCTGTGAGGCCTGCCCCCGACCCCCCACGTCAGGTAATGGTAACGAGCAGACACAACAATGGACCTGGAAGAACAGCATGTACGCGAGAGGACGCACGGCGGGGATCAGGAGTTCTCTCCTCGGCAGCCACACAGCCCGTCTGGACGGTAATCTCCTAAATCACCGTGTCCTGTCTCCTCTGTGGGATTCCTACTACTCTGCGGGTGACTCACGCACCAGCAGCCACGACACTCCCTAGGAGACATGGAAACGGTGAAGTCCTGCTGGCTGAGTCAGAATTTGAGCTTTAACTGAGATCTCCAGAAGATTTCGACGTGCATTCAAATGTTGAAAGCCCCAGAATTAGGCTCAAAGGACGTCAAGGTACAGATCGCACAGTATCCCCTCCTGAGCCTGGACGAGGCCCAAGCCTGCCTGACCGCAGCACTGACCGCTGTGCTGTGCAACAGGGCCCAAGGCCTTCCTGGGTGGTGTGCAACCGTCAGGAAGTTTACCACGAAAAGCTCTAAAGTCACATCTGCATAAGACACAGCAGGGCTGGGCGGGCAGGACACTCAGGTCCTGGGCCGCTGGGAGGAAGGCAGTGAATTGTGGAGCCCCTCTTTGCAGTGGGCGGGAGCCAAGGTACCTCCCCAAACCTTCTTTGCTTTTACTGTTTGTGCCGTTTCACTTGGTCACGCGATCCTGAACATGCTAATGAACCTGGAGAGCGCAGGTCTGGAGGAACAGCACATCTGGAAAGACGCTCCCCCGCCCCCTCTGGCTGGGATACGGCAGTCCACATTTCCCATGTAGCAAGCTGAATCTGACCCCAGTTCCTCCCATCAATGATCCTTCCTGAGGCTTAGCAAGGCAGTTCCCAGAAGGCCAGGCTGAGCCCAAACAAACAAATCATGAGGAACCCTACCTCGTTATTATGCTGCTTGTGAGACCTCCCCTCCCCCCCATCTTAGAGACCAGGCCTCATTCAAGCAAAGTGTTTAAAAAATATATGATATGAGGAGGAAAAGAAGATGAACACAGACAGGAAGCGAGGCAATAGAGTTTGATGTTTTAAGGCACCAGTTCCCATCCTGGGCCAATCAATCTCTGAGCCTTGTTACCTGTTCCTTTGAAACAGGCCGGCGGCAGCTGTGCAAGGGTCCTGAGGACCCCGAGAGAGCACGACGCTCACAGGGCACGGCCCCTCACCCACGCGGAGGCCTCACGCAACGTCCGATGCCAGTTTCCTGGTGTACGTTTCTCCAGGGCTGGCAGGACTGAGCTGAGAGGCCAGGCCGGGTCCCCAGGGCCACAGCCCCACCCTGTGCACGTGCCGCTCACCTTGATCATCTCTGCCACGTAGCTCTCGGGCCCCGTGTACTCGGTGGAGTCCTTCACCTTCACCAGGACGATGAAGCACAGGTAGTGCCACATGTTGTGCTCTTCCTTGATGTGCTCCTCAAAGGTGACCGTCTTGTTGTCAAACTTGTCTCTTTCTAAGCCTAGAAAGGAGACAGAAGCCCCAGCCCAACTCAGTCAAAAACGCAAATATACAGTAACACAAAAACATGTACATCAAGGGCTGGGAAAGGGGCTCAGTGGTAGAGCGCTTGCTTGCCTTGCATGCATGAGGCCCTGGGTTCGATTCTTCAGCACCACATAAGCAAAAAGAAAAAAACCGGAAGTGGCGCTGTGGCTCAAGTGGTAGAGGGCTAGCCTTGAGCTGAAGAGCTGAGGGACAGCGCCCAGGCCCAGAGTTCAGGCCCCACGACTGGACCAAAAAAACAAAAAACAAAAAACCACATGTACATCTGTAAGTGGGTGGTGGGGGGAGTCCCTCTCTTTTTATGAAAGTTCTAGAATTTGAATTCAGGGTGTCAAACTTGTTAGGCTGGTGTTCTACTATTTGAGACAGGCCTCTAAGTCCTGCTTTTTTGCTAGCTATTTTGGAGATGGAGTCTCTTGGGAGTTTTCTGCCCAGGTAGCCTCCTGAGTAGTTAGGATTACAAGTGTGAACACCACTGATGTCCAGGTAAAGAAGTTGACAAGGCCAGGCACCAGTGGCTCGTGCCTGTAATCCTAGCTACTCAGGAGGCTGAGATCCAAGACTTGCAGTTCAAAGCCAGTTTGGGCAAACTCTTATCTCTAATTAACCACTCAAAAGCTGGAAGTGGAGCTCAAGTGGTAGAGCACTAGTGTTAAGCCGAAAAAAAAGCAGCTGAGAAACAACACCCAAACCCTGATGTCAAGCCCCAGGACTGACACAAAAAAGAAAAAAAAAATTAAAAATGCAAGAAGAATAAAAGAAGTCATTATATGGTAGTTTGGCCACCATATAATAATGGATTCTGGCAAGAAGCATCACTGGTTATAAGAACTAGAGCTGGAAAGTCTAATGTGAGAAATCATAGAGTATTTAGAAGGTATCGAAGTATCTCCCCATGTAGAACGACTCTATGAAGGCTAAAACTTGGCAACTACCAACTTAAAAGTCAGTATCACAAGTTACGATGACTTGTTGCCTTGTGATATGGTATATTGAGGAAAGAATGAGGATACATGCTTGATGTTCCTGTAAAAAAATGCATAGCTTCAATTCTACATGAGAAAATGGCAGGAAAGCCTCAAGTCAGGGGACAGTCTATAAATGTCCAAAACAAACACAATGACTGGGTATCACCCCAAACCTACGGCTTGCAAAGGACATTACCAGAAGGAATGATAGTTCTAAGTATGTTTTGATTTCTCAATTGGGTAACCATATTATAGACATGTAAGAAAACAGTCTTGTCTTTAGGAAATGTGCACTGAGATATTTAGGAGTAAGAGTTTGGTCATTCACACCCATATAGTTCAAATGTGTGTGTGTGAACGGAGCAACAGAGAAACAGTATTCATATCTGGAGAATTTGGTGTGAGGAGTGTGAAGAATATGGAGAAATTCTTTGTGCTAACCATATGATTTTTCTGTGACTCTAAAATTAAGTGAAGGAAAAAAAAAGTGTAAAAAATAGGTTTGATAGCCGTGAGCCAGTGGCTCATACCTGTAATCCTAGCTACTCAGGAGGCTGAGGTCTGAGGATCACAGTTCAAAGCCAGCCAGGGCGGAAAGTCTTTTTTTTTTTTTGGTCCGGTCACGGGGCCTGAACTCTGGGCCTGGGTGCTGTCCCTCAGCTCTTCAGCTCAAGGCTAGCGCTCTACCACTTGAGCCATAGTGCCACTTTTGGCTTTTTTCTTTTTGCTTATGTGGTGCTGGGGAATCAAACCCAGGGCCTCAGGCATGCAAGGCAAGCGCTCTACCACTGAGCCACCTTCCCAGCCCGGAAAGTCTTATTTCCAGTTAACTACAAAAAGCTGGAAGCAGAGCTGTGCTCAAGTGATACAGTGCTAGCTTTGAGCAAAAAAAGCTTAAGGACAGCGCCCAGGCCCAGAGTTCAAGCCCCAGGATTGGGAATAAAAACGTTTGAAGAATTGAAATGTTTAAAATGAAAACACTCATTTTAAATATATATGGAAGAAATTTATATTTAGTAACTAAATTATACATAATTACAAGATGATTACTCGGCTCCCACTTGACATTTCCATATGCATTTCCTGCAGATAGGCTGAAAATGACCTGCCTGGGTACTGTAGCACCTTTACTGAGCAGTTCACTCCTCAGCCCCGGGCATCCACAGTGTTCTGTTCCTCTATATTGCCCATTAATGCAAAGAAGTCCTTATTGCAGTACCAATTACATGGAAGGTTCAAGAAGGTAAGGGACTAGACTGTGGGCAGTGGCTAGTAGGTGGCAGGAGCTAGATCAGAACCCAAGTCTGTTACACAAGGCCCGAGCCCTACACTGTCATAAATATTCTAAGAGGAACATTTTGATCCTATCTGAGGCTGGAGGAAATATGCCTGTGTAATTCCCTTAGAATGGGTCCAAGGGAAACCGAGGCAGCCCAGGAACAAAGACACTCTGCATTTGTCCTAAATGATGTGTGGTGACATGTCTGCTCTTAGTACTTAGTTCCTAAGACAGATGGGTGTCTGCTGTACAGAATTCATCCACACTCCCAGTATTTTCCAGAAAAATCAGAGCCGGAGTAGAGCACTGCTCCCTGCCAAAGCCACACCCAGCGGCCACGCCCGCCACCTTTCCACGTGCTATGCCATGCGGGCCGGCAGGCGGGGCAGGGAACTCACCGCAGATGAAGCATGTGGTCTTCAAGATCTCCTCTTTCTTCTGCTTCTCACTCCTCAGGTCGGCGAAGGTGTCAATGATGACCCCAAAAATCAGGTTGAGGACAATGATGATGACCATGAAGAAGAACAAGAGGTCGTAGATCACTCTCGCGGCAAAGAGGGGCTCCTAGGGAACGGGGGGGGGGGACACAAGTCAGGGGACCCCCTTGCAACCTCCTGCCGTGCAGAGCCCGGGCCTGGCTTCAGCCCGGCCCATGTCCCTTTGTTAAACTGGGTACAATTGCTTCTCCATTCACCCCCCAGAGTCCACACTGTGCATTTTCCAAGTGTGGGATACAATCCAAAGGTTCTAGTCATGTCTGGAAATGTGGGGGGGGAGGGCAGACCCAACCCTGAAGGGGGCAACCTGTGTCTAGGGACGGAGAAGCACAGTGCCCTGCCCACGCAGCTGGCCACCCCACAGGGCTCAGCACCAAGGGAGCCAGTGGTTCCCAGCAGCGCCACTGTGCTGCG